GGCTGCGAGTCCTTCTGCTTCGCCTTCTTGATCTGCACTTGCTTGCGGAGAGGTTTGGCCGGTGGGGGCTTTTCGGGCGGCGTTTTCTTCTTCTTCTCTTTGGGCTGCTTTTCGAAGGGTTTGGGGGGCGCGGCCGGGGTGCCGGGAGCCCACCAGCCGCCGGGCCGGTCTGGGGGTGCCACCGCCGCCGTCGCCAGGCTTTGCTCGAGGAAGAGGCTGCGCTTGTGGTGGAGATGCTGCTGCAGGACCAGCTGCGTCTTCTTGTGCAGGTCGGGCTCCGGCGGTGCCGATGGAAAATGGGGGCCGCCCGGTGCTTCTTTGCTGGCTGCTCGCTCGGGGGGTTCCGTTTTGGGGGCTGTCACTTTGCCGGCCGTCGCTTCGGGTCTCTTGAAAGCCGCCTTGATGTAGTTGTCGGCGTTACCCAGCAGCTGCTCCAGCTCTGCCATGGGGTCTCCAGCCCCCGCTGCCCCCTCGGCCTCCAGCCCCCAAGAGGCCGCGAAGTTCCCCCGCGGAGGTGCCGCGCCGAAAAATGGCTCAGGTGCTGCTCCCGGTTCTGGCGGGTATCGGGGCTCGTCCCCTCGCTGCCACGCGGCCCCCGGCGGGCCGAGGGGGCCGGGGGCGAAGGGGACGGCGGGCGGCGGCGGCGGCGGGGGCTGCCCATCGCCCGCGGGCTGGGGCAGAGCGGCCGAGAGCTGCGTGAGGGCTTCGATGGCGATGGCGGTCTGCAGGCTGATGTTCTTCTCCTTGGCGATGGTCAACGCGCTCTGGGAAAAGGGGAGGCCGTCGGGCGGGCACGGCTCGGCAGCCTCAGGCACCGGCTGGGGGTCGATAGCACCTTCTGGGGGAGGAGGAGGCGGTGGGACGGCGGCGGAGCGGGGCCGCGGTGATGCCAGCTCTTCTCCGAGAGCCGTCTTGATTTTCTGCTCCAGCCATTCCAGGTAGTCGGGGCACTCGGGGCCGTCGCAGTTGCAGTTGGGGGGCTTCACACCGTGCTTGGCCAAAGCCAGGGCGGCCTTGAGGGCGTGCAGGTCCTCTCCCCGCGGCACCCCGTCTGCCGTGCCCAGCCCGCCCCGGCTCATCTCCGAGTCGAACTTCTCGTACAGCAGCGACGGCGACCCCGGCAGCGGGAGCCGGTAGGAGGAAACGGCTTCGGCCACCGCTGAAAAGGCCACCAGGTTCCGGACGTCTTCCAAGTGGGCTTTGCCAGTGGCGGGCGGCTGGCCCGGCGACCAGCCGCTGGGCTCCATCAGCACCGTACCCCCCACCTCCGGCCGGCCCCCATTCGCCAGGCTGAGCCCGCTGCCCTCCTTCAGCCGCCTTTCTTCCACATAATTAATTGGCCCTTCTTCCATTTGGCTTCTGCTGGGTCCATCAAACGCGTCGCCCGCCGAACCTGTCTGCGAGGAGAGACAGATGTGAATATCCATCCCCACGTGCCATCGCCCCCAAACCTTTTTTTTTCCCCTCTGTTCCCTTTAGTTCTCTTTTCCCAGTCTCTTTTTTTCTGACTGGGGGGATGAAAACACAGACGAGCCACGCGAGAAACCGATCGTCACCGGCAAAGCCAAGCGGGGTCTGCCCGGCTGAGCGAGGAGCAGCTCGGCTCGGAAGGCGGCCGCTCTCCACCCACGTCCCCACCCCGCCACCGGCTTTCGAAATCGCTCACGGCAGCGTTCGGGATTTCCATCACCCAGCGAGGGCGTCCCTGGCTGCGGTGACACGGTTTGCCCCCAGAGAAGGAGGAAAGGGGGGATTTTGGAGCCTTGCCAGGAGTGAACATCCTGGCCGGGAGCAGCCCTGCGCCGGGGAGCCGCGGCACGGCAGGAAGACGCCGAGTTGGCTACGCCGGTGCCAGGGGTTCTTTCACCTCAAATAACCTCGTGTCTGTATGAACACGGCTGGCCAGGGCTCCCGGCAGTGCTGGTGGCACCGCTGCCGCGCCAGGGACACACAGAAAACCCACCCAGAGCCAGGTGGTGGCACCCAGGGAACCCAACACCCCAAATGTGCGCTGGACACCCCGATGAACACCCTCCAAGGGGATCCACCAGGGATGGAGGGGCTCTTTCTGTCCCACCTCGGCAGCGGGGATTTGAGCAGCGCATCGAGCCGTTTGTGATAACCAGGGGGAGCTTCCGGCAAGCTAAAAATACGGCAAAGTTCACTGGAAAAACCACGCCAAAGCAAGCAGAGGCTGTGGGCAGAGTTTCCTGCCTCTGGACGGCGCTGGCTGGTGGGAAGGATCGCGGCTCAGACTCGTGGGGAGACCCGAAATACAAAGTTGCAGCTCCGAGTTAAGCCGGAGTCCAAAAGTGCCCTTTTTAACCCTTCAAGCACCACGGCTTCGGCGCAGAGTCCTTCACCCTTGGCGGTGAGAGCGTGAGCAGAGCCACGCTGGAAAGATAAGAACGCTAGGCTGGAGAGATAAGAACGCTGCTGACTCCGGCGAAACCGCGGAGGAACCACTCCCAGCGCGACTCTTTCCAAAAATCCCCTTCTTCCCCGGCGGCGAAAACCCCCGGGGGAACACAGCGCTGCTGCGGATCGCTCCGTCTCCACTCCGGCATCGCCCCGTGGGGCTTTTAGAGGGGCTCCGGTGCCTTTCGGCGGAGCCGGCAGCGATGGGACCGGTCCGGCAGGTCTGGGGAGAAAGCGCAGCCCGGGCAGGGTGGGGACAGCACGCCTCCGCTCTCCTTTGCAAAGCCAGCCTCGCCCGGCCTTCCCACGCCGTCATCTTCCTCCTCCTCCTCCTGCTGCCCAGCCAAAGGGGATTTTCCCCAAGTGCCGGGGAGATGAACCCCCCCAAGGGCTCGGGGGGACACGGTGGTGCCCCGAAGAGTCGCGGGGCTGATGCCAGCTCGGGGAAAGGATGGCAAACCTGCGGCCCCAAGGGTTTCCCCAAGGAGGAACCTGCTGGGAAAGGGAAGGGGGAGCCCCAAAAATCAGCCGAGGCACCTTTGCACTGCTCCATGGCGTAAACTGGGTTATGGAAGCGGGCTGGGAATGCCGGAAAATAGTTCGTGGTGTGAATTAAAGGAGAGAGAAAACATCCCCCGCTGCTCCTAAGGGGTTAACCCGAAAGCCACAACCTTCCCCACATCAGTGGAGGGAAACAAAACTTCACACACACACAAACACACACACACATATACAATATATCCACTAAAAATATATATATATATATAATTTTTTTTTCCCTGGCTCTGCCATCCAGCTCCTTTTGTTCCTGGGAGATGGAAACACCTCGCAGCTTTTCCCCAAAAATCGATCCCCCCTCCCCATCCCGAGGCATCCGCAGCAATCTCCCCCTTCGCTGCCGTGGGTAACAATTCCTCCGCCTTATTTTCCTCGGAAAAGAGTCCTGCCTGTTCAAAAACCTCCTTCCATTCGCCCCGGGAAAGGATAAAAACCGGGGAGGAAATTAATTCAAATAAAGAAAACCAAGCGATATGGCTCGGGTTAACTCAGGTGCTCCCGCACATCCCCTTCTGCATCCTCGGGGCGCTATAAAAGGGGAGAAAAACCCCCGTGAGGACAAAAACATTTATTTTTTTCCCTCTATTTTGTTTTTACTTTCACCCCTCTCCACCCACACCATCCCCCTCCGAGTTTAAACGGCTGAAACGGAGGGAAGGATGGGAAAAAAATAATAATAAAAAAAAATACAAAATAAATGAATAAGCGCAGAGGCTGAGCAAGGCTTGGAGCGTTTCCAGCTCCCTGGGAATGGTCCGGAGCCGCTCCCGGCTCGGCCGGGACGCACGGATGGACACACGGACACACGGACGGACACACGGA